AGAAGAGGAGGAAACGCAATATGAAAAATAGTTTTCTATCTGATACCCCCTGAAAGTTTGTTTCTGTAAGTCGGTCTGAATAAAGGTAGAAATGGTGCTTGTTGGAACGATGTTACGAAATTAGATTTAGGGATAGATAATACGATTTCGTAGGTTTCGGGATGGAGATGGTGACTTGCTAATATTTTGTTGTCGATAAAGGCTCGACGGGTCTTAGGGCTAGCTGTAACACTGTGGCCCGTTCATAGGGTTTGACCGGAGATGTCACGCCCTTTGAAGGGGCCACCTATCCTTTGTGGATATTAAAAAAAAAAAAAATCCCGGAAGCGACATTGAAATATTACAAAAGAGCACTGCCGTTGCATTGGCCTTGGGGTTGGGGAGGGGGGTTCCACTGGTGGGGGGGAAATAGTTCGCACCAAAAGGCCTCCCCTCCCCCCTCTGTGCCGAGACAAAGCCTCCAGGTGACGAACAGCACTCGCGCCGCCTCTGGCACTGTGACGAAGACGAAGACGATAACGAAGACCAAGGCCGAGGCTGAGGCGAACAATCACGAAGATGGCGATGAACAGGGCGAGACGCGTCCTCCTAGCCCTCTCTACCCTTCACCTAACTCCTCCTCCTCCGCTTCGTCTCCCGCCCCCTACCGTCCAACGCGCCGTCTCTAGTTCTCGCAAACCACGCATCCTCCTTCTCCTCCCTCCAAACATACTCCTCTTCTGTTTCCACCCGTCTTTCTCCTGATCCCCTTCTTCCTCATCTCTGCGTACTTGTGCAAACATAGCTATTGCCCCGTGACAACTCTTGTACTTCGACGATGACCATCCGCATCCGGATGTCTATGCCGGCGACGTGCCCTCTTTCGGGCTGGTGTGGCGCCCTCCTCGGTTCCAGCCATCCACCCCATCCACCCTATCATCCATGCACTCCTTTCTCCCGCTCCCTTTTCCAGTAATTCTTAAGAATTCAAACAAACGACCTGAAATTGCTTAATTACCTCAATAATCAGCATCAGCGCAACGCAGGGTGTGCTGTCTCTGTGCGCGAATGCCAGGAAAGGGGTGTGTCTGCGCGCGCGCGCGCGCGCGCGTGTGTGTGTGTCTCTGAGAGAGAGAGAGAGAGAGAGAGAGAGAGAGAGTGCCAGGAAACCGGTGTTGAACTTCTCCCGCGCCCCATCGACATCCTCGTTCCGACCTCCTTCTCCCCCTCCTCCATCTCGTCTCTCCCTCCTCCCCCTCCGCCTCCCCCGCCTCCCTCCCTCCTCCTCCTTCACCTCCTCCTCCTCCTCCTCTTTCTCCTCCTCCCACTCCTCTTCCCACTCCTCTTCCCACTCCTCCTCCTTCCCCTCCTTCCTACCACTTCTCCCCCTCCTCCCCCTTGCTTCTACTCCGTACCATACTCAGAGGGACACATCCAACAGCAGATGTTTGATGTCCTTTTTTTTCCCCTTTCCCCCCCCCCCCTTTTTTTTTTTCCCCTTTTT